TATCGTGTTTAAACTTAACAAGAAAGCTTTTCAGTTTATCATAGAAGGACAAACTAGTATTAAATTGTTGCTGGTCGCAGAGCAGACGACGAAAAGAAAACCACAAGTACAGAATATATTTCTTAATAATTTATTGAAAGCATAAAATCTACTTCTAGACTTATTATTCTGTCCTTTTAGCCATTTTTGAATTAGTTGTATGTATATATGTATGAAATATCTAAAGAAAATTAGATATATTCTATGCCAAAATTATTTTCTGTTAGGCCTAATTAATAGACACCACGGTGTGTCAAATGATATGTCAACTATACAAACCACTTGACCACTGTGACCCGTTGGATCACCAACTATTCAAAGGTTATGAAGAATTCAAGCTAATTTCAATATTGCACCGAAATGAAGATTTATTTTGAGATAATTTAATTAAATATTTCAATCCATTCGTGTTATTCATAATTCAAGAAAAGATATTTGCTTGTTGATCGGGAGTAAAAGGAAAGACCATTTCATTTTTCAAAAACGTGAAGTAAGAAGTTTCGTAAAGAGCGCGAACGGTAGTGTGATGTAAAATTACTCATGCTACAAATTTTCATGAAAGTGACCCGAAATTATTTCTTATCACACCAGACAGTATGATAAGAAATAATGACATTATCCAACTGTTACTATTGTGTATATTAGAGACAGTATGATAAGAAATAATGACATTATCCAACTGTTAGTATGGTGTATATTAGAGACAGTATGATAAGAAATAATAACATTATCCAACTGTTACTATGATGTATATTAGAGACTATACACCATAGTAACAGTTGGATAATGTCATTATTTCTTATCATACTGTCTCTAATATACACCAATCCAACTGTTACTGTGGTGTATATTAGAGACAGTATGATAAGAAGTAATGACATTATCCAACTGTTACTGTGGTGTATTATTCTTATCATACTGTCTCTAATATACACCAACTGTTACTATGGATAATGTCATTATTTATTATCACATGGTCTCTAATATACACCATAGTAACAGTTGGGTCACCCACTATTCAGAGGTTATGAAAAATTCAAGCTAATTTCAATATTTAACGAAACTTGTTTTATTCTGTTTCTATTCTCATTTCATTACAAATATGGCAATATTGTGCACAGTTTTTGCTGTATTTAATTACAGACAAGCAAACAATCTCAGAGTTTTAGCATTATATTGATATCTTTAATAAAAGAGTGATACACTTGCAAAACATTATCTCAAAGTACAGGTAAAAAGAAATATCTTCACAAATATCTAACTCAAAGTACACAGGAAATAGCCTATAAAAAAGCAACTTGTATCATATTCCCTTTTAATCACAACTTTGTCACAAAAGTCACACCTAAATCTCTCATATCAAAATATCCTTTTCATAATATTTTAGCCACAATTTAGTCACAAAAGATTGTTTGTTTGTTCTTGAATTTCTAACAAAGCTACACGAGGGCTATCTGCGCTAGCCGTCCCTAATTTAGCAGGGAAAGACTAGAGGGAAGGCAGCTTGTCATCACCACCCACCACCAACTCTTGAGCTACTCTTTTATCAACGAATAGTGGGATTGATCGTCACATTATAATGACCCCATGGCTGAAAGGGCGAGCATGTTTAGTGGGATGGGGATTTGAACCCGCGACCATCAGATTGCAAGTCAGGCACCCTAACAATCTGGCCATGCCAGGCCGTCACAAAAGATACACCTAAATTGTTCATATCAAGATATTTTCATAATCTTTTAGTCACAAAAGATACAACTAATATCTCATATCAAGATATCATTTTCATAATCTTTTAGTCACAAAAGATACAACTAATATCTCATATCAAGATATCATTTTCATAATCTTTGAGTGCTACAAAAGATATCATAAATAAAACAATTTCTTTATGGCTGTAGTTTAGAAACAAATAAAAAGAAGTCAAGTAATATTCAAAGTGAGGAGGAGGAAGAAAAATATGGAAAACTCCTGTAAAGCCTGTTTCAAAGCTGGAAGTGAAATTAAATGCTAAAACCATACATTCTGTTATGAATATTTTTCTATACCTTCATTAAACATATCCTCTCCAGTCTGACAAACATTGTCAATTCTGTGCTCATGGTTGTTTATTTCTGCAAGTACTGCTTGATGCTTCTTTATGAGGTTCTGTACACCAATCAAGTCTCGACCTGCAAGTAAAATAAACTGAACTATTCATAAAACACTTCAAGTCTTTTCAACCAGTTTTCTCCCTGTCTTTTTTTTTGTTCATCTACAATAATTTGTAATATTCAACCATTTTCAAGCAAAATTATATGATAAATTAGTAATAAAATTCAATAACTGGGATTGAAACTAACTTTTAGGGCAAGTGGAAAATGTTACTTTAAAAGTTACTAAAATAGGTGCCAGCCGTGCTGACACACGAACACAATTTATTTTCAACACTCTGGTCAATACAACCAGTCAGCTAAATCAAGTTTCCAGGAAGCAGTGAATTGTTGACTTAACAGTTTAATGCTTTAAACACCCAGGTGTTTTAATTGGGGTCACTTGTTGTATGGTTTGTTTAATTGCATTCCAAATAAAAATTATTAGATTCAGACATTTAAAACTGAGATAAACTTTCCAGTATTACAGGAATATTAAGTGTTTTCTACCATTATTTAATATGAAATTGTTTTCATAATGTTTCATTATATATATATATAAATATATTTTTTTTCTGTGTACAAAAGACTTGTAATCTTTACAAAAACCTTGTCAAATTTTGTGAATATACATTAAGTAATTTCATAGTTATGGTACTTGTACCTTTGTAGTTTCTTGGTGGTTACAAGAACGTGTAAAATTCACAAGCCTCTATCCACAGGGTTAACATAATTCTTCTTTAAATGCTAACTGATAATGATGAAGTTTGATCAAATTTCTCACTAAGTTTCAAATATACTGAACCACTTTTCTAGAAAATCTTTTTGCATCAATATAAATATTAGTGAAGTTATCAAGAAAAAGCAATCTACAAAATGCTTATGTAGCTAAATAAAATCAGATAAAGGACAAAATAATGGCATATCTGTTTTTAATAACTTTTCTATAGACTTGTGCATTGCTCAGTCAGTAATACTGCATTTTAGTACACCTGGAAACTAAAAACAGATTTTTTCCTTTGCCTATTACACACAGCACGGTTTTTCTAAAATGTGACACAAAAATTTATGTAATCCAAAAGTCATAACCTCTGTTAGTCGAAGCTGCTATTGGTTCCTTCTCTCTTATCCAAGTTTCTTCATCTTCCATGTCTCTAAAAAACTGTTGAACTCTGAGGGAATCATTGAGACGCTGTCGGCGAGCTGCCATGGGCTGATGGACAGCGTTGTATCTTTCAATTAAAGCTACTTGCTTTGCTTTGATTGATTCTCCATCAAAATGTCCTCTTTCAACAAAATTGTTTGCTTGAATGATAATACCATCTATTCGATCCTTCGAAAGAAACAAAAATTAACACCGATTACAATTCTAAAATTACCTTTATATCAGTAGACACTCTGATTAACAAACAATTTGTTATAGAAAATGTATATTCACATAAATTATATAATAACATATACACATTTTTGATATTTTCAACTTGAACGGCATCTTATGCGATACATGGGCCGAACAGCCAGGCCAGGTCAGAGACCCTGAGAATCAAGTACAGAAGAAGGGAAGCCAGTCAACACCACCTGTTATGTATATGGATGTTCTTAGTTAAATGGCAAAAGTGACCTTCACAGTTATAACACTCCAACAGCAGATAGTGCAGTGTATGTTCAACAGCATACAGAGACTCAAACCTTCTAACCTGCAGTCCAGCCCTTCCACAAAACTATGCATAGTTAAAAGTATAAAGGAGTTACATAAAGTTTTCAAACAAGTGTAGAACATTTTCTATCTTTAACTAAAGAACATGAGGATTATTTTGCCGTCAACACAAAATGAAGTCTGACAAAATTCAAAGTACATTAATAACAATTTCAAAAACACTAACAGAGTAATCAATCTAAATAGTTCATTAACCCACAAACCTGGTGAGAGGCCACATCAGCTTCCAGCAGACTTTGTTTCTTTAGCAGGTTTTGTACACTAGTAAGATCCTAAAAAATACAAATATTAATTACCAATAATCATTAGTATTGTGACGATTATACAACAGCGACAGTAGACACATTATACTGGTAATATAAAGCAAAAATTGATCATACAGAAATAACAAGAGGTAAAGTACACCAGTTTCCTTGATAGCATTTCAATTTCACAGTTATATTCAGTTTTTTTTAATGCTCTCTAAAGTAGCAAAAAATCTTTGGATAAAAGTTTTCAAAAATAATACTTACTCAAAAGAAAAAGAAACGAGCTGGTACAAAAAAAATTTGCTGCACACTTTATTTCTTACAATGTTTGAAGTTAAGCACAAAGCTACACAATGAACTATCGGTGCTCTGCTCACCATGGGTATTGAAACCTGGTTTCTAGCATTGTAAGTCCACAGACATGCCACTGGGGGGCTTCTTACAAGGTAAAAAAAATTTCAGAGTACATTTTTTGTTGTTTTTTTGGTTGTTGTTAAACACAAGTTTACACAATGAGCTATCTGTGTTATGCCCACCAAATCCAGTTTTTAGCATTACAAGCCCTCAGACTTGCCACTGT